TCAAATTCTTGTGTCTTAGCAATTTTTTATTCATTAGCATCTCAGACTTAAAGGAGAGCACACCCTGTCCCTCATCTAACCAAGGAAGGAAAAGTTGAAACCAGCCACCAGATGCTGTGTGAGTCTCCTGGTGTAAGGAAGGAAGGCTCATCGGTCTGTACTGACTCAGTTAAAAAAAACCATAACTGCGCAGCAACCGAAGCCCTAGTCGTCCAGACTCCATGCTCCCTTTCTGCCTTCTATAGAAGCAAGGTGACGATTATTTCTCAGCTGAGAGGCGCCGGAGATCCGGGAGGGGAAGGAATGGCCGCTCGGAGGGCACCTGCCGCTGTAGAGGGAGGGGGGAAGCGAATAGGCAAGGCTCTGTGGCTGGTCCTTGACTGCGAAGGGCCAGCCCGGGAGTGGTTGGTCATTGCCCAGACAGCGTTACCTCCAGTCCCCTTCGCGCCCCCAACCCCCCCCCCCCCAGCTTGGGACTGGGCCTGAGTCAGAAGCTGCCGGTTCAGACGGCTGTTTTTGCACTTGGGCTGCGGGCTTCCTTGACACTTTCCTGTCTCTCCGGGCCCGCCACGACTCGGCGCCTGCTAGGGCGTCTTCTCTGGCTCCGGGTCACCTCTGGCTCCGCGGGTGAGGTGAAGGGTGCTGGGGTCGGCAGGCGTTCTTTCCGGCCACCTTGGGGTGAAGGGGAGGCCGCCTGTTCCGAAGCAGGTCCAAGCTGGGGTTGCAAACATCAGGTCCCTGAGGGCTCTCAGGGTTGTCCCTGTGTTGGGAGTCCGGGGGTGGGGGTGGGGGTGCTGGTGTGCAGCTGTAGAGTCTGAAGAGAGGGAGTTTGCCAGTCCTGTGTAGCTTTGGCCTGAGAGGGTCCCCTCCTTTAGCCTAACCCTAACCCTTCTGGGTAGTTTGTGTCTTTGTGTGTCCCAAGCCTCCACCCCTCTAAACCTCCACACACTGTATCTGCCTTTTGACATTCTTCCTATTCGATATGTTTCTCCTCATCTGTCTTCGTTTTATGGAAAGAAGCTGTCCAGGAAAACACCAAATTGCTACCCCTTCTAAGTTCTGTACATACAACAGTATCCCAGAAAGGTAGATTTGATGAATGAAATGAACCCCATCTCTTTTGGGCTTCCTGTAGCCCTGGCCCTGGCCCTCAGGCCTCCCCCCCCCCCCCCCCCACACACACACACTCCTGGTCTCCACCGGCTCTATTTCGGTCCCTCTCCCTTTCTCTCCCTCTTGTTGTGTCTGGTCTCCCCACCCTTCAATTTTCCCCTGTCCTGGTGTCTGACAGTCCCCTGTTCCTCCAGGATTTGTGGATACCGGTACCTCCTGAGATGTCACACACCCAGCAGCCTCCCTTGGCGGGTTGTCTCTCTAGGATTCCCAACACCTCCCTGCCAATTGCTGCTGTGGTGGTACCTAGCTAGCTTCCCCGGCTAAACCCGACTTCCAGCATCCAATTTACGCCCAGGCATCCGTTCTTCTGAACCATCTCAGGGCTTCTATTGTTTCCTGAGTTATAGCCTAGATTTTGGTGGGCAATCTGTGCCACCAGGGCTGAATCAGCCCTCTGCAGATCTGTCCTTGGGTCCCTCCTCTGGGACTGGGTGGGAAGGCTGTGTACTACTCAAGGACCAGACCTTTTGAAGAGTTGTGCTCCCCCAGCAACATCAGAGATGGCATTAACATCCCCTCTTGCCTGATGGTACGCGATTTTAAGGCAGGAGAAGGCAGAGCCAGAGAGAGCGACATCTCTGTGAGTTTAAGGTCAGCTTGGTCTACACAGCAGGGCTCTGCCTCAAACAAAACAAATGAACAAACCACAAACTCTTTTCTTTCTTCTTCTTCTAATTCAACCATTCTGTAAACACTCATTGAACACCTACTGTGCATCAACCTCGGTTTTCACCTCACAGAGCTTACTTTCTGGAGGGTGTGGTGATGGGAACATGTGTGTCAACAACTAGAAACAAACGAATTCTAGTCCTAGGGACAAAAGACCTAAAGATAAATCGAATGGATGCTTAATATCATAGGGAATTAATGGTGCTCCATGTTTGGTTATAATACTACCCCTGGGCGACTTCAAAAGTATAAATGAGGGAGAAAGAGATCCCATACATGAACGAATTGGGGCGCCAGGTCACCAAAAATATCAAAGGAGTGACACCTTAGATCTCCAAAAGACCGGCTCGCACAGACAGCAGCCAGAGCCGGTTGTCTCTGGCGAACATGCTTACTGGGACCCCCAAGGAATCCAGTGGGTGTCTGCAGCTCCCGCTCTGCTTACGGGATAGATGCCCTTCTCCAAGGAAGGGTAAAGGTGACTTTGGGGGATGCCCGAAGAAGGGGGTCTGTGGGAGGAGGGGGTGTCAGCAAGTCTATTTCAGGACTACAGCTCTGGGCTCCCAGACCCGATGCCAAGACTGGGACTCCAGACTGAAGAGCACTCTGCCCATTCACAGAGCCTCTGGCATGGTCCACACACTTAGCAAAAAATTTTACACAAAGCTTTTCGGGCTTTCTTAGCCTATGAGACACAAACGATCTTGTTCTAAATTGATTTTGAATGTTTAAATGTCAGGCGCAATAAAGGAAATTTAGAGATTAAAAAGTAAAACGACTGTTACAAAAAGCATTTTACAGCTGCTATAAGACTATTAAGAAGTAAGATGGTAATGTCGATTGGAGACGGGCTGCTACCACAAACACTTAGTCACCTAGAATTTGAGTCCCAACCTTTCCGGGTCGTTTTAAAGACGACAAAGATAATTTTGTCTTCCCCATTCTTGCTTGGCGATGTTGTTTTCCCAAAGAAGAATAAAATAGGAGAGTGTCCTGTAATTTAGAAGTGACTATAAAATGTGCCACTAACTGGTCTTCAGATTGGAAGTACCTGAAGCATTTTCCGAGGTCTGTGAGGAAGGCGCGGCTTCGGTTTGCAACACTGAATAATTCTTTAAAAGTGAGACTGTTCCTAAAGGGTTACTTCCTCCTGGGGTGGCACCTCAAGGTCGGACCCTGGGTGCGGGGCTAGTTCTGGGGTTTGTAGGAATGGGGAGCTCATGTCCGTTCCTCTTCCACCTGGAATCCCATGTGCTGAAGGCCCAGGGCTGGGGGAAGAGTGCGTGGTGGTCTTTCTGGTTAACTGGTTCTTCATTCTTCCTTGAATAGGATGGGGTGCGCCTAGCTGCTCACTTTTCGGCTTGTTCAGGGGATCTCTGGGCGCGGGCTGACAGTCACAGAGGGGAGGGAGATGAGGTCTGTGGTCTGTGGCTTCAGGCTCCGCCCGGGGAACTGGGGAGTTCCAGGACCTGTGAGGACAGGAGACAGCCTTCGTTTGGCGCGGGTCACTGTGGACATCGAACCCAGCGCCTTTGCAGGGGCACCTCTGCATCTGGGGTGTAGGTTCTGTGGAGCCAAGGTGGACTTCCGTAGGCTTCCGTTTCCGATTGCAGGACACTGGAAACTGTCCAAGCTTCAGATTCTTTCCGGAACTCGTTTTTCTCTCACTGTATGGCTTATGAATCGATTCCCGCCGAATTCGGGCAGGTATTCGCCTCCAGAAACACGGACACTGTGGCGCTGGACTCGACGTTGCCCACCGTTTAAACCAAACTGCAGGAGTCCCGGAGAGCGCGCGCTGGTGACCGGCTCTGGGGTGGGAGCGTGAGGGAGAGGGCCGCCCTTGGTCTCTGTGTGAAATCCAACATCTGCTGTTTATTTTTTTCTTCGAGAGAATTTGAGTTCCAATTCCTCTGTTCGGTCGTGTTCAGCCTATACTATAGTTTCGTTTCTGCTAGCTCAGAGATGGGCTTAAGTCTCAGGATCCTTCACAGAGCGAGAAATAAATGTATTCTTTGGTGCTGTAAGGATTATTGAAAAGTACAGCTCACCTAAGTCCGTCTTAATATGAAAAACCTCCTAAGTCCATCTTATTATGGAAAAATCTCAAGACACGCCACCTCCCCCATGAGCAAAGAGATCTAAAAAGATGGAAGGTGAGCCGGAACGTTTCTGCCCATAGATCATGGGAAAGGAAAGCGGGAAGGAGGATGAGAGTGGGGTTGGGCCACCCTTCCCCGGCCATCCCAGGGACATCCTCCTTAAAAATAGCCAAGTCTGAACCTCCTCAGAGTGCCCAGCCCCCCTCCTCCCAGAGGCCTCCCTAGTCTGAGAGGAGCCTGGGAACCTCTCGAAGCAGCCGATAACGCCCCTCCAGCTCCAGCCTGCAAGGCCTTGAAATGCTCCCCGCTCCTGGCAACGCACAGAGGTCGCCTTGGTTCCCCTGGTTCCAGCAAAGGAAGGGAGCGACTGAAGGGTCAGAGGCAAAGAGAGGGCGAGAGAAGGAACCAGAGCAAAACCAAAGGCGCCCAAGAAACATGTCTGACTTGACTCTCAGCCCACACACCAGGAGAAATTTGGTGTGTGCGACCCAAAGTGTGGGGGTTAAGTCACAGGAAACTGAAACAAATGTCTCTATCCCAGGCGCCTTGCGGAGTCAGAGAATTGTCTGGGGGCCTTCGGCTCGCAGCTCTTCGGCCCAGCAGGAGATGGCCTGCTGGAGGCTTGGGAGGGCAAAGTGGTCTAGGAGATCCCCAGCTGTAGCCAGCAGCAAGAGCTAAGAATCACGCGACTCTCTTAGAGACACCACCTGAGTCTCTTAACAACCACAGAGAGCAATATCCCCAGCCCAACTCAAGGGCATTCTCCTTTTATTATTTTTTATTTTTTTTCGAGACAGGGTTTCTTTGTGTAACCCTGGCTGTCCAGCCTTAAACTCAAAGATCCGCCTGCCTCAGCCTCCCGAGTTATTGGAATCACAGGCATGCCTCCAACCATCTCCAGGCAAACACCGGACTTCCTGCCTGCTAGGCTGAGCACGCTACCAAATGAGCTCCATCCATCACCAGCGGGGCACCCCCCTTCTACAACGTTAGGAGCTGAATTTCAGGAAGGCTGATGTGGTGAAGGCTTCAGGACACCACCTCGCTAAGGCCCATCCTACACCAAGAAGAATGTGTCCCTAGCAGCGGCCAGAGACCTTGGGGACCCGGAGGAGTGCCACATGGCTGCTCCTCCAGACACCAAACCTCAAGCTTCAAGCTTCGCGATGATAAACAAAACCAAAAATGCTGGGCCTGGTCCCCAAGCTTAGCACATTTTGATCTATGAGGGTCGCTACAGAAAGGCAGATCTGAGACCTATGGCACACAAGTGGGAGGGGGGAAGGAAGGAGAGAGAGAGAGATACAGAGACAGAGACAGAGACTCTTCTTCCGTGGGCCGCGGGCCTTTGGCTTCAGAGTCTCTCCTGCTCACCGCGTGGCTGGGGATTCCTTGTAAAGAAAGCAAGGGCCATACCCTTCTTTTCGTGTATCTGAGAGGCTCAGATCAAAACTTGACCAGACCTCGAAACCTGCAGCGCCTGATTCTGTTCCAGGATGGGGGTGGTGGTGGCCTAGAGAAGGGACCCTAGTCTTGGGGCCCTAGCTTCAAAGGGCTCTCAACCTGGCGGCACCCCGGGCGGGCGAAGTCGGTGAATCGGACCAGAGCACAGTACTTCAGCAGCTCAGCAACCCCGCGGGCCTCAGTTTCCTCTCCTCCTCTCCAGCCGCTCTGGACCTCGGCCCCTTTGGTTTGAAAAAGAGAATTCCCCCCGCGCAGCCGCGCTCAGTCCTTCCTCTGGGATTTTCCTGAGATCCCCACGGGTTGGCCAAGGTCCCACGGGTTTTTCCTTTCAATCCGCTCAGCGTCCCAGCCTGTCCCTAACGCCTGGGGTGCCTGTGCACTGGCCGGCAATGGCAATCTGCGGTCGGTCTCCAACCAGGGGAGCGGGTGCCATCCCGAGCTTTCTCCGGCTTGCGCAGGTTTCTTACCGGGTGGTATTTCAGCCCCCCTCCTGACTCCTCTAATCTTGTATGAGAAACCTGTGCTTGGGAGAGAAAGGCGGCCTTAAAAGAAAAAAAAAAAAAGTTTAGCCCAAAGCGTGAGAGCCACCAGCGAGTTGTTATCTGTGGCTGAAGGCTGTGGTAATCGATGGGTTATTTTTACGCGGTAATAGGGCCCTGTGATTGCTCTATTAACCTTTAGACCTGTTTGAGGGACTCTCCCCTCACGGCCCCGCTGCGCCAGGGCCTACAGGCCCTGACGCCAACTCCAAACTCAGGTCTGACACCCTCCCTGCCCCCACTCGGGGGGGGGGACGACTAAAGCCCCTAGATGGGCTTTAACGTTGGAGACAGGCTCCGCAACCCCCACTTGGTCCTTTTGATTGGACCCCAGCCGCTGGGGGCTGCTGAGAGAACAGGGACAGATGAGAAGGGACTGGAGGCCACAGGCGTTGGAAGCAGAGTGGCGAGGGGTGCGCACTTTGTATAAATACATAAACGCCTGGGCTGGTGGCGGGTTCTCGGCGCCTTGCAGTCTCCACGGGCTGGTGGGAAGGAGAAAAGGACACTTGGGTCTCTAGGCGCCGACCTTCAGGTCCAGTTCGGGTTTTAGTACCTCCTGACCCTCTCCCGAGTGCATTTCGGGGGCCGGGTAGATCTGAGGCCAGCCAGGTACCCCTGGTGACCCAGTGTCCCACCAGCGACCAAGAGCCCAGCCCACGAGGTCACCTTCCCCTCTACCAGCTCCGCCCCTTGCCCACCGCGGCTGGACGTGGACCACTGGGGCGGGGGGGGAGAAAAGAGAAGGAACTAGAGAATAAAACAATCCTTGGCGGAGCAGCACACCGCCCGAACATCGGGCTGTGCAGAGCCCGGCGCCGGTACTGAGCGCTCTAGTTCTCCGAGATCTGCGCGCATGGACTTTGCCTGCTGGGGGAGCTTTGGGAACAGCCCGGCTGGAGGACGCCGGGCGGAGGTGCAGCCACCGACGCTCACCCCCGCCCCCCGCCCTTGCACGTGACTCCCTTAGGCCAGTCAGCGCCGGCGAGCTCAGCGCGGGGGCCCGGAGAACCGCTCCGGGAGCAAGGGACAAACCGGAGGGGCCGCAGAGTGGCCGCCCGAAGCTCCGCCGCCGCTGCAGCTCCGCGGGCGCTGGGGGATCGCGCCAGCTCTCCGAGAGGCTCGAGCTGGGCAGGTAGGGCTCCTCCACCCCCTGCTCTTTTCCGGGGCAGGCGAAACTCACCAGTCCGCTGCCCTAGTTTGTCTGGAACCGGGAGGGAAGCAGCTAGTAAGTGGGAAAGGAGACGCCGGTCACTCCAGTGCCCCCAGATTGGCCAAAGCCGGCTCCAAAGCTTTTGACTTTGGCCTAGCAAGGACTTTAAATGGAATGAGACTGATTAGGAGCAAAAACCGAGGGGTGCTCGCGAGGTGCGTTTGGATTGTTTTTTTTAGGGGGGGGGACTTAAACCCCTTTAATCGGCCCTCTGTGCAGATTCTCCAGTTCTGCTTTGCACCCCACAGGCCAGGGCCCGTGTAATCTCTCAGAACGACTGACCTGGGACAGGCCGCATAGCCCCCACGCTTCTGGGCGCAGACGGAGGAGTGTCTCCAGTCTGCGACGCGGGGAATGCGGAGAGGCGGCGGCAGGCAGCAGAGGGACCTGGGGGAGGCCTGGAGGCACCGGGAGGTAGGCTCGGCGGCCTCCCGACCTTTCCTTTCCACTGCTTTCTAGCCGGCCTCCTCAAACTTCAGATTAGGGTCTAGGGTCCAGGAATTGTGTGTGCTGTGCACTGCCGACTATTGCCCACGCTCACTGCTTCTGGGAGAAAGCAACCCTGGGCCGAAGCCCCCCAGCAGACAGCAGGGACGTTCTTGGCTAGCCACTTCTCATCCATAAATTTTATCGCTTGGATGTGGCCTGAGAGTGAGTGGGCAGTTGCTACCTTTGGGAGAGAAGGTGTCTAGGTGGTGAACTTTCACCGGGTGGAAGGAAAAGGGGCTTTTCAATTCAAAGGAGAAGGTAGTGAGCGACCCACGCCATTGGCAGAGCTAGGACAACAAGGCCGCGCTGCTGGGAAGCACCTTGGGAATTTATTTCCTGTACCTTTGGAAAAGGAAGGCAGACAGGAATGACACTGCGGACGTCCAAAGAAAGAAAGAAAGAAAGAAAGAAAAAAGCTTTCATAGTGAGGCCGGCCGAGCTTCGTTTCTGAGGCCAGTGTAGAAGTTGTTGGTGAAAATTCTCAGTGTGGCAGGTCTAGAGCGACCGCGTGCGAGCGCGATCCACACGGAACAATCTGTAAAGGGACACAGTATGGCGTGTTGCATTTTCCAACTCTCAAAAACGGGTTCCAAAAAGAATTGTGAGCTAAATTATGAGAAGAAAAAGGCATTTTGTTTTTGCTTCAGAACTTGGGATGAAGTGTGTGGAGTGATTCGAAAGACAGAGAAAACCCTGGGCCGGGCGGGACTACTGGGAGAATCTGGAGGTCGCTGGGCCGGATCACAGACAGGCGGGAATCCACCTAAGGGAACAGTTTCTGACCTTTCCAGAAAGAGAAAGAGTATTTTCTCCACCTTCTATTGTTCTAGTAATCCAACTTCAGGTTAAAGTATCAGCCATTTGAAACTGCAGAGCGCTTCTAAACATAAGCTCGGGATCCTAAACTGATTTAGTGATTGCATTTTTTTCAAGCTTGCAAATTAACACTGCTAGTATACTGTAAATTAGATTACAGAATTCTAAGTCTCTTCTTATAACTTTTTAGTTGAGAAAAGAAAATTTACAATACTTTTTTTACAACTTCCTGAGTTGAAATTGCAGAAAGTGCAATTAATTAGGCCAACTACTTGATTTTAAAAATTGAATAATGAATATTTTTATCAACGTAAATCTACATATTTGTTTATCAAAACCCCGAGATTTCTAGGAAGTTTTAAACCTTTTGTCTTTCTTTTTAAAGGAAGAATTGGTGACCTCAGGTCAAATTTCGTGCATCCATCCTCCAGCCAAACTTGCTAGAAGGAAATGTCCAACCATCAAGCCAAGAGCTAATTGTATATTTTGAAAAACTAAATACTAAACAATTTATCAGTCACTGTGTAACTGCATACTTTGTCATGGTTCCATTTTTGCTAGAGATAATACAAAGATGGTGGAAAAATTAGTGTGTGTATTAAACGCCCCATTCCAGAACTTTTATAGTAATAAAGATATCATTTGTTGTGAGTGTAAACTATATTCCAGGTACTCTCTTGCAATGTGTTAGAGATCTGTAGTAATAGCTGCTATGTAGGATCTCCTGGGTGCCTGCTGTAATAGGCTTCTAAGGTCTGGTTATGAATGTTCTGTGTATTAAATTAGAGTTGCTACCCATAATCTTCTAATGACTATAAGACACAGGTACCTTGAATATTTGCACTTTACAGATGAGGAACTGAGGTTTCTAAAGTTATGTATTCAGGGAGTGGCAGACCTGGGCTTGTATCTAGTTCATTTAATACTCTTGCAAATGCATTGTTGCACTAAAAAAAAAAATAAATAAATCAAAAGCAGATGCCTCTTAAGGGGAAATGTATGTGTATTGGGGATTTCAAATACTCCAGGCCCTTGAGCAGCTTCCTTCAAAGTGTACATTGAGCTTCAACAGGTTTCAAACTCACCTATACTTCAGTTCCCTCTTAAGCAAAAATAAGGAGATTTAGATACTTTTACTTAATGAAGGCACAGAGGGAGAGGCTTGAAACATAACAGGTATGTTTGGAAAATAGAGCTTACCCTCACCCCACCACCACCACCACCATTTTCTCTGGTAATGACAAAACACAGGATGCCTGGAAGGATGCCGTCAAGCTCTAAGAATCAATTCTGCTTTTGGTGGATCTCGAATTCCACAGGGAAAAGCCAGCCGGTGAGCTTGAGTGCTTCTCTGAGTCCTGTAGTGACCTTGTTCAACCCCCCTGCTTTTCTGGTCCTCCTATACAGTCTGAAAAGTGTTTAAAATGTAACTATTTGCAGAAACGTGTGGCCTGTCCAATTTGACACCCACATGGTGCACAGTACGATTAAGGAGTTTCACAATCCTTTTTATGGTTTCGCCGACACTTGCTCGTTTATAAACATTTAGATTCTACCTCTAGGTGCTCTTTTTTTTTAAGATTACAAGCAAAACTTTGGCAGGTTGCTGGTTTTTATAAAGTTTGTCATTGCCCTCGCCCCAATCTACAGGTCTTGTTTGGTCAAGAAAATGTCTGAGGAAAGGTAGGGGAACAATTGAAAAATAAAAAACGATGGAGCTCTTTTGAGTCACTAGCGTTTCCGGAACCCCAAACCTTGTACTCTGGTTAAAAAAATAAATAAAAATTTTTTAAAAAGGAAAAATAAAAAGGAAAAAAAAAGTGCTTGGAGAATAAGGCAAAATTAAAGTCCTTCCTGATAAACAATATAAAAATAATTGGCCTAGAAGGCAACCGAGAACTGCATGCCACGTCCCGTAGGTCTTCCTCCAAGATACTTGGCACCAGCAGCCTGACCAGGACTAAACAAAGGCCGAGGCTGTAGCGTGCGACCTCAAAAGCCAGGTTGGAGAAGGGTGCTTTCGCTGTGCCAGGGTCCGGAGAAGCAGCGGAGAACCGGAACCGCTGAACGCGGCTCTGAGAGCCCTGGGAAGAACTTCTCTCACCTGTTTTATTTTCTCTTTTAGGGCTGCAGCCTCAGTGAAGGGAAGGAGCCTTCGCGGGCCCTCTTCGCTGGAGCCCTGCTGGAGCCAACGGCACAGCCTGGGCATGCCGCTGGCGGAGCGCAGCGACTAGGCAGCTGTGGGTGAGCCGAAGGTCTGTCTGCTCAGGGTGTTCGAGCCCAGCCTCGACTACGTCCTGAGCACCTCCAGCCTCGGAGGTGGAGTGGACTCCAGCCCTGGAGTGGAGTCAGCCCTCCTGCACTATCTGCTGGAACAACCACAAATCCAATCTGGGATTTTTCTGAGCAAACCAGAGCCGGGAGGTTGCTCTTCTGATGCTGGATTTAATTCGTATATCTTTTGAGGGAGTTGGGCCTCTCCCCATTGATTTTTGATCTCCGTTTTCGTGACAGTCCCGCACACCCGCATTCTAATTCTTGTGGCTTTGGTTTGCTGTGCCCGCGTGGCTCCTTGACCCGCAAGTGAAGAGAGGACACCGACGCGCAGAGCTTGGGGCGATGTACCAAAGCCTGGCCATGGCCGCCAACCACGGCCCCCCGCCCGGCGCCTACGAGGCGGGCGGCCCGGGCGCCTTCATGCACGGCGCGGGCGCCGCGTCCTCGCCCGTCTACGTGCCCACGCCGCGGGTGCCGTCCTCCGTGCTAGGTCTGTCGTACCTGCAGGGCGGAGGAGGAGGCGCTGCCTCCGGAGCCACCTCGGGTGGCAGCTCCGGGGCCGCCCCGTCGGGTGCGGGGCCCGGGACCCAGCAGGGCAGCCCGGGCTGGAGTCAGGCTGGAGCCGAGGGAGCCGCCTACACCCCGCCGCCTGTGTCCCCCCGCTTCTCCTTCCCGGGGACCACTGGGTCCCTGGCGGCCGCCGCCGCTGCCGCCGCCGCCCGGGAAGCCGCAGCCTACAGCACTGGCGGCGGGTCTGCTGGAGCGGGCCTGGCCGGCCGAGAGCAGTATGGGCGTCCGGGCTTCGCGGGCTCCTATTCCAGCCCCTACCCGGCCTACATGGCCGACGTGGGTGCGTCCTGGGCCGCGGCCGCCGCCGCCTCTGCAGGCCCCTTCGACAGCCCAGTTCTGCACAGCTTGCCCGGACGGGCCAACCCTGCGCGACACCCCAATCTCGGTGAGTACGGAAGGGCTTTGAGTCCTATCTGGGGTATTCAGCTTTCCCAACTCTGTTGAGGTTGGGGAGCATTAGATGGAATGGGCCTCCTAGGAAGGCAGCCTGGAAGCCGGAGACTCGAGTTGGTGGGCCATCGTGGTGATGAGTGGCCAGGCCACTGACGTCCAGCAATGCCCTTCTGTAACTGGGTGGCCTGGTTTGCACAGCGTGTTGGTGACAGTGAGACGTGTTGGGCTCTCTAGGGTCAGCTGGAGCAGTCTAGCGATCTGATCCCTGGGGTTCAGCCCCCACTTCCTCCATCCCTTCTTCTGAGGCCTCAGCAAACCCGAGACCTGCGCCATTTGGCAGCCAGGTTGGAGGACCCCTCAAGGTGGCAGATTACTTTCCGGTGGGGGGTTTTCACACCCGGAAATAATGAAGAGATCAGTAAAGGAGACCGCCAGAAGTGGGTTAAACGACTTTAACCTGCAAGTCTCCTCAGGCGCACTGCGGGGGGTCTCATGATGCCACTCAACTGGCCAGACACCTTAGGTCAGTGCCTGGGGACAGTGCAGAGGGGCTTCTTTATAACGTCGTCGGAGTTAAATGGAGACTTTGTAGGGCTGCAGCGCCTAGAGCCGCCTCTTCTTAGGAGGGCCCGGTTAACAATAACGATGGGCAGTAGTCTTCCCATCCCAGACCCGACGGGACTGCTAACTCAGTCCCGCTTACCCAATCTACCTGGCCACTTGGGCTGGGGGGAAAAAAAAGCGAAGTGGCTGTCCACTCGTGCAAAATGCCAAAGGCCCTACTCGTGTGGAATTTCTAGAAAGGACTGGAGGTGGGTGGCCTGTGGATGGAGCTGGCTCTTGGGGGAGGGAGGAAGCACAAAGTTGAGAAACGAGGTTAACATTTATTGACTGCCTACTAAGTGCTAAATCCTTCTGCGTTTGCTGTCACTTTGAAGAGTAAAGTCTGTCCCTCGCCACTCCCCGTGCTAGTTTGTAGAGGCTCTGGCTTTGAAGAGGGTTAAAGTTATTCTCTGCCCCTGGGTGGCCATGGAAGGTTCCCCAGGAGGGGGGTCTAGCCAAATATACATCCCAGGTAAACTGATTAACCATGGAAGTGGCGCCAGGGCTGGGTTTGTGGCTGCCAGGGGGGTGTTCTTCACCCCACCCCACCCCCCACAGCAGGCAGGGCCAAGTAGACTGCACCCTAACTAAGGGGGATAAGCTCACCAGCGAGCCTCAGACCTTGGAGACAGAGCAGGGCGGTGGCTTCCATGTGGTGGAGGCTGGAAGTGAGCCTGCAGGGGCTTTGGCCTGCATCCCTAGAAACCGAGTTCCCTCCCACCCAACCCCTAGCTTAAAATAAGAAGGAATAAACTGAGTGCAATGACCGATGATTGTAATTCCAGAACTGGTGGGGGGGGGGATAGCCTGGGCTACATAGCAGACCCATTCTAATTTTTTTAAAAAAAATCTTGGAGTTAGAATTTGGTGTTTGGATACAGCAAAGAATGAAGCCCCCATCTAAAGATGAAGAAGACATTCTGGTAGTCAGTATAAAAAGCAGAACGAAGTGGCATCACGTGACTGTGCTTGTGAGCATGGGGGCTGTTGAAGGTTTCCCAAATTCCAGGATCCACCCACAGCCAACAAAACAACAGGGATGTCTCTGTCCTGAGAGCTTGTGTGTTGGGCTCTCATCTCTGCCCTACTAGTTGGTCACAAAGCCACTGCTTCCAGCTAAGTGTTTAAAGAGGTGCTCTGGGATTGCCATGAGGGAACACCAGGCATTATGAGAACCTGTTGTCGTGCTTTAATATATTTGGGGGATACACTCATTTTTTTTTAATCACACAGCCCCCAGAGGATCTGGCGATCTGGTGGCACTGCTCCAGTTAAAAGTGCTCTCTGTGAAGATGTTTTCTTGTTCAGCCCCACCCCCAAGACAGTCCCTGACCTAGACTGGATAAAGGCTCTACCACTGAGAGACAGTCCCAGCTGCTGTCCCTCAAGATGCTTTGTATACTGCCTTGCCTATAATATGCACATTAGTAAATGCTTGGTAGCTTTAGTGAGAGCCAACCATAAGACTAGCTGATGTCACCAAGTGATGGAAGGAAGGGTCAAGAGAACAGATTCTCTGATGCTTATTGAGAGGTCCTCTTTGGATGAATGTCATGACCACCAAGCTCATTTGGAGCCCCCCAGATCTCAGTGTCACGTGACTTTGGACAAGTTGCCTACCTCTGTCCATCTTCTCTCATATTCTGTAGAGTGGCTTCAGTTCAGCTCAACTACTTTTAGAGTTGTCCTGACTTAGGTCGTCTGTGTGATGTCTAGTCATTGACCTTTTATAAATGACGGCTGCTTTATTACTTTTCCTGGGACCAAAGGGGTTCCTAGGATGTGAGAATTTTAGCATCAAGCCTGATCAGCAGGGATCATTGGTTACCCTAAACAGACATGGACATGTTTAAGTGACTCACCATTGTGGTAGGGTCAGGGGAGGTGAGCAGACAGCAAGACTGAGGAAGCAGGAAAAGAACTTCCCTCTCAAACCTAGAAGTCTTCACCTGGGTGGTACCCTCTGCCCTGGGGCTTGCCTATCAAAAGAGGCTTGCCAGGAAAGGAACCTGAACCTGTAGTTTAAAAAGGGAAGAAAGAAAGAGGCATGTGCTCGCTTATTCGCATATGTGGAACTGTGGAATAATAAGACAATATATCTGTGCTTTGCTTCACAATAGATTCATCTCCAAAGCTAAAGCTCCGGGACTAATTCCTAAGCCTGAAATGTTTTTAATTTGCACTGAGGAGAAATAAGCAAATACCATTATTCTTTTCTGAGATTGGTCTGTTTTGCTATTAACAGTTAACATCTAGCAAGTTCTTGTGTTGGATATTGGAATAAGGCAAAAATCAAAATGATTAAAAAAAAAAAAGCCAACGGGGCATGTGAAAAGACAACCTTGGCAAGAAAGAAATTATTGCACCCTGACTATAATATATGTGAACTTTAGTTCATTCCAAGTTCAATAGACCCAGGACCCTGAAGCAATTGTTGGAAGCATTAATTAGACTCAATAATGGAATTCTGTGACCTTACTGAGGCAGGTACAGAGTCTTACTCATATATAAGTGCCTGGCACATGCTGGGCAAGTAGCAAATATTTGAGTAGAGATCTGGGAGGTAATTGCCCCAGGACTCTGCCCTGCCCTGGTCAAACCACACAGAATGGCTACCTGTGTCCTTTAAGAAGCAAACTGGAACTGGGTGTGGTAGCACACACCTGTGACCCCAGCCCTCAGGAGGCTGAGGCAGGAGAATTGAGCACTCAAGGCTAGTCTGAGCTATATAGCAATCTCCTTCTTAAAAAAAGAAAGAAAGAAAAAACCCACAGAACTGGAGAGTCTCAGAGAAGAAGGGAGTAGGATGGGGGAGCACTCTGAGAACCTAGGGCCACTGGAGAGAAAGCTGGGCTCTGTGCCTGGTGCCAGAAGTGAAGGGTGGAGGCTGGAAGAGGGTATCAGATGCCATGGAACTAGAGTTAAGTGTGGTTGTGAGCTACTATGTGGGTGCTGGGACTCAAACCCAGGTCCTCTGCAAGAGCAACAGGTACTCTAAACTGCGGACCCATCTCTTCATCCTGAGATATGTTCTTAAAGTAGGAGATTTTGAGTGTGTGTGTGTGTGTGTGTGTGTGTGTGTGTGTGTGTGTGTACATACAACACACCACAGCTGAGTAGGTTTTTGTACCCATTAAGGCTTATATGGACTTCAAGCCAAAAAAGAGACTGAAAGAGAAATTAGACATAAGTAGACCTTGAAAGACATGCCATGCTTGGAGCTGTTACTGGGATATCTAAGAAATGTAACTTTCTAAGGAAGAGTAATACTTTTGTGTCTTAGGAATAAGCAATCCTATTGTTCTTAAAGAATATATAAAAAAAAAAAATGGAGTCCTTAGAGGGCACAATGAGACTAACAGAAGGAAATAAATGTGTTTTGCTCAGTGCTTTTGAAACAAGTGAAAAGCGTCGTTCCATTGCGCCTGGGGTAGGGCACCCAAGGTGTTAGGTCAGCAGAATGTGCTGTAGTGTTTGCTGGGTCTTTGGGGGACTGCTTTATCAATTGGGCCAGTTGCTTTCAGAGCCAGTTTGCTTAAACAGGGAGTGCTGTGGTCTCTGAAGGAGCCTGTTCGGCTCAAGAACAATCTGTCAGTCTTTTAAGAAAATCAAAGTTGTTTAATTTTCCGGTTACCACCCTGAGCAGGTCAATCAGAATGGGGACTGGTTTGTGGTGCTAAGTGGAGGACCAATTAAATAAGGAAGGTGTGCTGGAGTGGCCTGGGGTGTGTCTCTGCCTCTAGTGACACTTGTCACTTTGCCCGATTGTGTCCCCTGAAAAGGTCAGGCCACATTTGCTGGTAGAGTGATGTTCAGGAGACAGTCTTAGATAACGCCTTCTTCTGCTCCCCTTCCTGTTATCCGCCCCCCATCTTCTTTAAATGCACTAAGAAAACAAATATGCTGTGAGGTGTAGGGCACCGGAACTCTCATACCTGCGGGTGGGGATGTTCGTTGGTATAACCTTTGTAGAGGGTCCTTGGTAAACCAGTTCAATTCCAGAGCAGATAGCCTTGACACTGAACTTTTGACTTCCAACAATTAATTCTTGGGTACATATTTGCCACGTTGTCATCCATAATAACAAAATCCAGAAGTAACATAAATGCATACCTTCAGGGGATTGTCTTTATATGTTGTAGGTGCGCACGCATGCACACACACACACACACACACACACACACACACACACACACACACACACACCAGTGCATAGAAGATGATGGAGGTCATTATTGGACTGAAGAAGATCTTTTCCAAGCCACTTGGAAGAGCTAGAGGTGTGTGTAGCACTATATTCTTGGTAACAAAAATAGGGAACTACATTGTATTCATTTGAAAAGAGACAGATTATCTCTGGAAGCCTTGCTCTGGCCATAGGTAAAGAAT